ATCACCTGATGTACTGCGATCTTTTGTCCTATCTTATTAGCCCAAAGTGACCTGGTACAAAAACAAGATGGACATCACAAATGAAGCCAAGTACCGAATGCTGAGTAAGCAAGGCGTCCTGACGCTGGAGATCCGTAAGCCCTGTCCATTCGATGGGGGAGTGTATATGTGCAAAGCAGTCAACGACAGCGGAGAAGACATTGTGGAGTGTAAACTGGAGGTTCGCTGTAAGTATCCTGCCGGGTGGTACAGACACAGAAACGTGTCCTCTTTGTCATGATGCACTTAGACACTCCAGCCTCCAGCCAGCATCCTCCTTTTCCCCATTCCCCCTCCTTTCCATGCTTTAAAAATAACACTTATCATCAAAGTCCACATCAAATAAATGGCAGTCTGTTATAAAGAAAAATATATTTTAGTGTAAATGTGAGAGTATATAGTAAAAATGTTCAATTATAGCATTTATTTTTCCTGTGGTGGAATTTCTAGAATGGTGTGATGGAAAAATGGAAATGGACTGTATTATGTCATGTTTTCCTGATTTTTAAGAAATTTCCTGGAAAGACTTTCTTGTGTTTCTGATTGTAGCAAAATAGAAATGACCTCAAAAGAACTGCAGGATTACCATAAACTAATATGAACACTGTCCAAAGAAATTCTTAACAAAAGATCCAACTTGTTCTTTCTGAAGCTTTCAATCACACCTCCTGGCCTTCATCATTGGGTTGAGAGCACTTGAGATGTGGTTGAAAATTTCAGAAACAACAAAGTAGCTGGATCTGGTGTAGATATATCTACTCTAAATGAAAGTCTCCCTCCGTCTTTTTCTGCCTGCAACTTCACTGTTGTGGTTCCCTCTCACTGCTCTCATAGCATCATTTTCAACAAAAAAAAGCTCAATGTACTCTTCTTGCTCAACACCGAAACACAGACATACAAAGCCAGGAACTAGCTGGTGAACACAGAGAAGCATTTAGCAGCTAAAGAGCAGAGATATTTCCCTCTGGAGCTGGTGGAGACCAAACTGGAGCTAAATGGAGTGAATATTAATTAATTAATATTAATATATAATAAGTCTTCTGGATGTGTAAACAGGCACCTGTTTAATAACATTTTAGCCAAATCAACTTAAAAAAGTTCTAATGGTAAACTAAAACTAATGGTAACTTGTTTGTGTTTATGAACATTATGCTACCAGCCTCACTTTGTGCAACGGATTTAATAACGCCTCTGTGTCTTGACCGATGTCCCTGCCTTGCAGCTCAAATTGTGAAAGAAGAAAAGAAAGATGAAAAGAAGAAAGAGCTCCGAGCTGCTGACTGAAGAGAAGATCAATTTGTCTCCAGCGTCTCCTGCATGTCGACTGTTTTGTGTCATGTGAAGCTCTTCACCTGCATAACAAACTGTGTTTAGCTCACTTTTTTTGTTTTGTTTTTGCGCCACTTCCCTCATCTACCATTATCGAGTCATCCTTGCTGTTAATAAATTTATAAACTAAATTTACTACTTGTGCGGGGGTTGCTGTAAATGTATAAACTAAATTGATTGTTCTTTAATATGGAATTATTAGTATTTACAATGGTTTGTCACTCCTTTTCTCCTTCATTTCAAAAACTTAGATTAGAGATTTAATGGATAATGGTGTGTAGTAAATATGGATAATAGATAATAGCAGCATTTATGAAACTAATTTATGATTTGTCATTCTTGGATTACATGGTTGTTAGTGTGATTGATTTGTGTGCATAAAGCTTGCTTCAAAAGCACAAAATACAGAGTGATTTATTCAGTCATACATCCAGCAGTGGTATTATGTTGCATTGTAGTCAGTACTTGGGTACAGGTGGACTGCAGCTCCTTAAACTGCCATCAGGATCACTGCAGCAGCGGTGGCATGCAGGAAATACAAAAAGCATGCCACTGATAGTCAGAAGTCCAGTGGAACTCTGCAAGAATTGTCGAGGGCTTAGTTTTATTGTAACAAAGCCTCACTAAAGCTAGAAGTGTGGGGCATGTGCCTAATGTGCACGCCACAGAGGGATGTGTGTGGAGGACTGGAATAGCTGGGATGTCCTTTTTTCCCACTGGGGACTTGTGTCAGTGAAGTGGAACACATGGTGGTGCAGGGGTTGCTGTAACATCAGTCAACAGTTATTCCTTTGATGCCTTGAATGTAAATACTTCCTGTGCCCTCCCTCTCAGCGTACAGCTGCAAGAGATCCAGCGGGCCTTGTACCTGTCACAGCGTCACTATTAACATACATGACGGATGTCTTGGAGCGCCTCAATTTTTGTCAGGTGTTTTGACATGGGACTTCACCAGAATCCACAAATTACAGAATGAAAAGGCTACATGGTTCAAAGCTAAACAGGATTTATCAAATTACATGTCTGATTCTTTATACAATCCCAGGGGGTAATTTCTCACTCATCACCAAGTTACAGCTCACTTGCATGAGTGAAGGCAGCCTGCAGTAGTGGACAACATGGTAGGCAGGCAACTCCACTGAATGGTCCTATAAATGTGAACAGACTTAGAACAATTAGATTAAAAGCAAAACTGCCCCTAAAATAGTGTTTACATGGGAAACTTCAACTGAAAATTGTTTAATGGGAGTAAGCCTATAGCCACGCTAGCAGCCCTGTCAGGCTGTGCACAGCGCTGCTCTGAGCTAAATGCTAACATTAGCAGAAGTAGTCAGATCTTTTTAAGTAACAACGTCACAGTGTACAAATACAATGCAGCCAAAATGTTAGAAGTGTTAGCATCAACATGTACTTTAAGTGCTCATTATATAGAGCTGCCTATTTCAGAATAATATGGTTTATAATTATTGATACATCAATGTACACACTGTACTACTGCCGATGGTAAAGGGAAGCTGAGGCTGATAAGAATGTCATTCGTTTTGTTGGTATTTTGCTATAAACCAAACTGCTGGTTGAGGTGAAATTTTGACCTGATGATGGCGCTAGATGAAAAGATAAGGGATCATCAAAACAAATACAATTTATCCTGAGGTGAACATGAATGTGTCGACCAAATTTCATGGCAACCTATCCAAAGAGTTCATGAGATATTCCATTCAAAACCATAAATGTGAACTTCATGGAGAAAGTCAGAGGATTGCCAAAGTCATTAGGATACATCATCTTGGGACCATGAACGTCTGTCCATCCAATTGGTGCAGAGGTATTCAGTCTGGACTGAAGTGACCAACTGATTAAACCGCACTGGCGTTTTGGCATATAGTAGAAATAGGACATGTTGTCATCTTTAACACTAACACAGTTTACATAATTTCAGATGAAAATTAACAATTGACCTGTCTTCCCATGAGGCCACTGCAGACTGATGAGGAACTCTGCTGGGAGAAAAACATGTAGGATTATTGTCAATGCTTTAATTTTCAGGGGATCTGACCTTTCTATGAGACAATGCAGTGAACACAATTTTATTCATACACAATTTATAGAATTATTTTTCTACTTGAACAGAATAAAAAAACAACGTGGGGAGATCTCACATGAAAAACTACAAGATTTAATTTGAACTGAAATTAAGTGAGATACTTTTCATAATCCGTATTATTCTGCAAGTTTGTATCTATAAAAGATAAAACAAAAAAATTCATAGTTTATAGTTTGATTTAAAAAAAAAAAAAAAAAATCACAGTATACAGTACATAGATTCCTCCCACAATTTGCACTTAACTAAAATGATGATGTACAACCACATGTGTCAACATAAAGCCAAGAACGCAAACAAAGTAACAACAAATGAAAACAGACTATTCTTTTACAAAGCACTGCTGGTAGCCACTACAGTTGAGGAGGTAGCTTCCTTGGTTAGCATCCCATTCTTGATTACTTGTTTTCTTTTCAAATAATTTACATACAAATACAAAAACCAATAACCAAACTACTAAAAAAGATTTGTACATTTTCACCAGATGGGACATCAGGCATCTCAAACAATCAACGGACATTTTGGTTGGTGCAAGATTTTAGACACCCAGTCGAGACTACATGAAAACAGAAAACAAACCCAAAGGATTACAATTAAATGGTGCATTATAAGGGCACAAGAATGTCTTGTTGGTGGAAGAAAATGTTTGCCTACATTGTCTAAATTCCTGAGCACTCACATGACGTGCACTTGTGGATACACGCTCCGAGGGTGTATCCACCTTAATGTGTACGGTCATGCTCCAGCACACCAAACATCAGTCAACTCCTCGTCACTCACAGTATCACTCAGGTCAGCTCTCAGGGCAAAAGATGTCTACATTTATATGCTTTACAGTATAAAAATGCTATTCTGATGATCTGTACAATAAAAGTGGACGATGCAGACTTAAATGATCATACAGCAAGTCTCTGAGTCACTCACTGATAATGAAACTGGATTGCAAAGACATTCCTGAATGAATTACTTTGAAGGTAATTCCTCCTGTTTTCAACATAGGCCTTATTTTACTACTTTTGTTCCATCATGCCCATTTTTTTTTCCGGTTAAAATTTGCCGATTTACATCACTGTATAGTACAACAGGTACACTGACTGCATACCAACACCAAAAAAAAATCCTTTAAATACAAAATCAGTGTAGACAATGTCGTTAAATGTCAATGTTAATGATCACCCACTTTTCAGTAATAATAGTCCATTTCAAACCTTTTGGCACTATGTATACACTCTTGTTGACTCAGCTGGCTGCCAGTCTCCTGCTGTGTTCACGTCACGATACTTTCACATTACATTCACGTGTTTAACTTGGACGGTATTCATGTGTTTAACTTTAACACAAGTAAAATTATGTTTAAAAATGGGTTTTAATCAATCAAATGAATGTCATCTCATGAAAATAGTGTGAATAAAGGTGATTTTGATTCCTGTTTGTTGTATGTTTGTCAACAAACTTATATTTTATGGGGTAAAATAAAAACATAAGTTTGGCTGTATTTTTCTTTTGCGTCATTTTGGCAAATATTCTCTTTTTTTCCCCCAGAGTTATATGAGAAATGAGAAACCACTCTCATATCTGTATGCTTATGTTAGCTTAGCATAAAGTTTGGAACAGGCGCAAGCAGCTAGCCTTAATGTATCTGGAGGGAACATAATCCACCTACCAGTATATCCAAAACTCACTAATTAATAGGTTTCTTCTTCTTTGTTTAATCATTCAGCTTTTGACGCAGTATTCAATAGAGCAATAGGTCAGCCATTGTTCTGTCAGCCAAAAATAAGCTGAAACATCAGATAAAATAGGTCTCATTTAAGTGTTATTTTACTGTGTTTGTATGTTTTCTATAGCTCTGCAGTTAAGAAATAAAAACTTTGTTCCAAATCAAAGAGCATGATGAAAAAAATAACTAAATAAAAAAAAGGCCCAGATTTGAAAATAACAGGAATTTTCCTTCAGACTATTGAAAATAATGACCTAAACCTGTGTATGTATTAGCTTTCTGCGAAGGATAAGAAAAAGAGGTGCTGCTGTTTTGGTGAATGTTTAGGGTTATATTGTATATTCATCATTCAAAGGCCACCTTTCATACACCTGAAATCGTCTCCACCCAGACACTCCTGCTGCTCACACAATAAATAAAATCTTTCAAAACCGCCAAGCATAGTTGTTGCTAAAACAGTGATATCTGCTACTTTCATCACATTCTCAGTCTTAGTAACTTAAAGCAAAGAAGTGTTTATTATAGACTAGCATTCACCATTCTCACACTGATAAGAGTATGATCGCAGGTAGGGAAGAAGTTATCGGTGACGTTACATTATTCCCCTCTGATGGGTGAAGACCGCCTGAAAGTTACATTCAAACAGAGAAAGTCTAGGATTATTATTACATTTGCTACATTTATATTTAAACAAAAATTCTAAGTATAAAATCGACAGTTGCTGTGGAGAAGCTTTAAAAATTGACATGATGTATAACAATTAAAATTTAAAAAGCTTAAAAGTACAGGTAAAACAGAGGAACCATAAAGTCTTCGACACATAAATTGAAGCTCGCAAAATCATGATATCCACTCGGAAGGCACTGGTGGCAAGATTTTCCATTGCAAGATCCTTTGTCGACCATTGTGTAACATGATGTGCTCAGTTCAGCTCATTTAGAAATGGTATCCAAGTTCCCTTTAAATGATTGGTTGCTTCTGTTTTCTTAAGTGCTTGCTCAATAGTCTTTGAGCAGGGTAGTTGGCACATTTTTCTTTATATAAAAAGGTTTACATATTCTTGTAGCATCTAAATTCACATGACAGAGATCTGTGCATATAGTGGAGTTCTGAAGCGTCCTTAGTCCTTGACTCGAGGTATATTGTATGAATAGTGTACAAGAGGAAGGCCTCTGGTCTGACAGAAGCAGGCTCTGCCGCAGGCCTGAACCTGGTCCGAGCTGTCCGACACAAATGAGTCCCCCTCGTCGGCGTACTCAGACTGAGCGGAGGGAGTGCCGCTGTCTGCCCAAAACCCCTCTGCACGCGGGCACACTGCAGCTCCCGCCAGGAGGGTGGGACAGCTGTGAGACTTCACCAAGTGTCTACAGACTGTGGAGGATGAGGGGGAAGAGCAGGTCCTGGCATGCAGCGCTGCCTCGCACTGCTCGCATACAACTGTCTCTCCACAAAGCTGTGAGTACACCCCACAGTCAAAGCCCAGGTGGGTGGAGGAGCCCCCGTCTGTGAGCTCTGACCCTCCACCACCTTCGTCTCCATGACTTTCAGCACCAGCCTTCACCTCCCTGGTGAAACCTCCGCGGCCGCGTAGTCTCAGCCAGTCCTCCCTGAAGGCCGGGCTGAAGAACACATACAGCACTGGGTTCAGGCACGCAGGCAGCGGGAAGAAAATGAGAGTAACAGACTTGGCGATCTCTGGGCCGCCAGCTGTAGAGCCTGTCAAGAGAGGGGCGAAGGAGAAAGCTGCCACAGGGCAGAAGAAGATGCAGTTGGTGAAGATGAGCCAGGCTACATGTCGCAGGGCACCTGTCTGCTCTGGATCAGCCAGCTCCACCCTGCCCAGGTGGCAGTACAGCTGGGTATAAACAGCTGCAGTGAACAGGTAAGCAAGTGCGTTGAGCAGCACGAGAACCACTGTGACACTCAGAGCTGGACTCTCACCCCCAGCGAAGGGCAGGCAGAGAGGAGAGGCCGACTGGTCGCTGGAGGTCAGGAGAGGCAGGCAGGCTCCGGCAGCAGCCAGCAGCCCCAGTAGTCCTGCAGCCAGGCTGAAGCGTCGATCTCCTCTCCAGCATCCGCCATGGCTGCCGCCGTTCCTCCTGGGCGACATCATTACTTTCCCGAGAATCGTCCGCACGGCAACGCTGCGCTCTACAGCTGCCAGTGACAGTAACAATACTGCCCACTCTGATGAGAAGACGGCCAGAGCTCCTGTGATCTGACAGCCAGGCCCCATCTCCCACCACACACCAAACTCCGCGAAGGAGCCCCAGGTAGCAACATCGAGCACGGTCAGCACGCCGACATACACACCTGTAAGCAGATTGGCCAGGGCCAGCAGCCCCATGAGCAGCCTGGCTGGAGAGAGAGATACAGTGAGGGAGTGGGAATGGCCTGCAGCTCGCTGTGCGGGGGAGAAGGTCGCCACCAGCACCAGGCTGTTAAAGACCAGCGACACCAGGCAGATGAACCAGACTGTCAGACGAATCATCCAGTTACCCAGGAGGTGCTCACAAGGCTTGAAAGCTCCTGAAGATGGAAACAATACGGTTGATTAAAAATTGACACTTGATTTAGCCATGTATTTTCAGATTATTTCAAAGCTCTTAAACATTGGCTGACTAAAGCAAACATGTAGATACACAATGAAAGATGTAAAGAGCTGTTTAATGGTTACCTGGTGAAGGGGAGCAGTGCATAATCATTGAGATTCTTTCCACATCCTCTCCTGCTATAAAAAAAATAAAAAATAAAAAATAAAAAAAATAAAAAAAATAGATGAAAGAAATGTTAAAGACTCTTTTAATCCTAAATAGATACAGGATATGCCACCAAAATGAGTCTAGGGCAGCAATTATGACTGACAACCTAATCTCATGTAATTTCACACTCTGCAGAGGCACCAGACAAGAGTGCAAATAGTGAAGGTAAAAGTGGACATCACTTTTACCATCACTATTTGCACTCTTTATTGAACCATTAGAGGCAGCAATACGCCAAAAGCTCATAACAGGCATCCACACTAATAAGAAAACACATAAAATCAGCATATATGCAGGCGATGTACTTCTATTCATGCAAGATCCAAACAAATCAGTCACAGAACTTATCAAAACCATCAATACATCTCACAACATCTCTGATTACACAATAAACTGGAATAAATCCACCATCCGACCAGTAAATAGAGGTAGCTCTCATACTACATCCCCCACTTACGACCCACAACTGGCAATATCACACAAATATATTTAGGTATAAAATTCTCCTCCAAGCTGTCAGTTTTGTTCCATCTAAACTCCACATCTTCAGCATGTTCAGAAATACTAAAATAAGGCAAATATAATGTAAGATCATTCACAGAGCACATATTACACAACATAAGATGCACATAATGGGAGTCATTTTCCTAATGTTTCCTACAACTATACACTTTAGGTAGGAAATGTAGGACAGTGTTTAATGTTAGTTGTCTAATGCAATAAAACACATTGTAAATTTTTCCTGATGCACACATCTGCATAATGCAATCTGTGAGGTTTCAAAACGCATACAGGCTGTGGAGTGGGTAAAACTTAAAAAAGCAAAAACGTCCAACATCTACATCTGATATCTGGTGGTCTGGGAATAAAGAATGCTGTTTGGAGGCTTATATAAAACAAACTCCATTGATATTTTTAGTTGCTTTTGTAAATAAAACAAAAAAAGTTTAGCTAACATGTAAACTGTTGCACGGAAAAGGCTCTGACTGAAGCATTCCCACCTGTAGATTTCTTTACGTCATTTTCCTCAGAGGAACTCGTCATTGAGTCACATCCAACAAATGCACAGCACTGGTAGGCGTAAGGGACAGAGATGGACCTACAAAAAAAAAACAATGATCATTTAGAGAGGCCGATATTATCCGACTGAGGCCCAGTGTTGATAATACAGATGGTCCAGAATCTTGAAAACCATACTGGAAAAAGTATAAATAATGTGTTTGTCTGCAAGTATCTGGCCCTTCTGATTTTTTTCAATAATAATATTTGGATGTTTCCATAGTGTGTCTACAATTGTGAAGAAAACAGATTCAGCTGGCTTTCTCATTAAACAGAAGCAAAGAGGTGGAGTTTGTTGTCAGTCAGTCACGCACATAAAATCACAGCAGACAGAGAAAAACAGCAAAACAGATTCACTTATATCACTTTTATATTTTGTTCACTTAGGGATTTGTCCAATTCATTTTTTTTTGCTGTTTTTTCTCCGTTTTGGACTCAGATGTTTTATGTCTTCTTTGTGTCAAAGCAAGTGTTTTTTAGATGCAAGAACACCACAGGCCAGAAAGTATTTTTTTCCCCTGTGAGAAATACAGTTATGTACATATATAAGGCATTTAAGGTAACCTAGGGATGACATAATAAGACTCACTCAAAAAATACATGGAAAAATCAATGTATTCATAAACTGCAAAGAGGTGTTTAATGTCTTTTCGTATTTAGTTGTGAAAACAAAAGGTGAGGGAAAATAAGTGCACTAAATGGCTAAAAGTGATTAAATACACTATACACTAGTACCTGAGGATTCTGTGGAGAAAATGAATTCCTCATCAACACCATGGCCTGGTGTTTCTATGCAGACCTTCACTAGAACTCTATTTTAAAAATCCTTTAAAAATCAGCCATATCTGTGTAAGGGCTATGTCCTGCAATAATGTGATCTTTCTTTCTGAAAACAATTCAGAAGAAATGCTGACAAACAGTTAAAAAACAATTTATCTAATCCCAGTTTGAGATTTATTTCAAGCCTATAGCTAACCCTTATACATTTTCTACAATTTACAATTTAAATTAATTTTTTTTTTACCCTTCAACAAATCAAAATAATTATATGTTAAATGTTTTTTGGTTTTTTTGGGGCATTTTGTGCCTGTGTCAGAGGGCGACTGTAGAGAGCTGAGAGAGAACAAGGGGAGAGAAAAACGGGGGAACACATGCATCAAAAGTCACCTGCTTAAATTGAATCTGGGATGTTGTAGCTACATAGTGTTATGTTCTACATTCCCTCCTAAACACTTAGATGACAGAACTTGAGGCCACAGAATTTCTTCCTCACCTGAGTTTGGGTAGGTTTTTTGCTGTCAGCACATTTTTCATCTGTGGGTTCCCTGAGAGTTTTAGCTGACTGAGGGCGCTCAGTCCAGTCGTTGGAATCACAGTCAGAGAGTTCATACTCAGATCTCTGTAATAAAAAAATAAGAATAAAAAAAGATCACACACAAGTAATTTAATGCTGTACAATACAGAAAGTCAAACCAAACAATGATATGTAAGTGGAGTTCTGTACTCTTTATGATGAAAGGTGGTAAAATAAGACACAGGTCATACTCACAGGTTGGTGAGAGCAGTAAGGGTGAGGAAAGCGTCTCTGTGGATAACCCGGATTTCATTTCTACTCAGGTCTCTGTGTAAAATCACAATGGCATGAATTCACGATCCAGGTATAAAACCTTTGTTTTTACAGGATCCGGTGTGTGTTACTGAGTGTGTGCGACTGAGCGAACTTACAGTAAACGGAGAGCAGAGAGACCTTGGAAAGTGTCCCTTTCAATTTCTTGAATATGATTGTGCTGAAAGCTTCTGCAGATTCAAACCAAGAATTTAACAGATTATAAACAAGCCGCTAATTACCTTTATTGTGTTAATTGTTATTACATTCTCTTATTTTAGTCTTAAAATAGAATCTGCCCTTTAATCTTTACTATCCTTGTCTGAAATCATTTGTTAACTGTCTTCTAAATGTTCCACACTCACATCTCCTGCAGTAGGACGCAGCCCTGGAGGGACGGAAGCCCCTCGACCTCATTGTAGGACAGGTCTCTGATGGAGGGACACAAACAGCTTCAATAATTAGACAACTGGGACAATTTAAAATAAAAGAATGAAGAAAAAAGGTTGGATTGTTGATCATGTTCCACTATAAAGGTAGTTTATAAACAATTTCCCTGTATAGTATATACAGTTTCTGAAATGCCACATTTTTAGCATGAATGGGAATCCAAAATTCTTAACAATCTTTAATCCTCAGTAAGTACAATTATTTGTTTAATGTGTTTTAAGTTCTGTTGCAGGTGACAAGAAAGGAAAAGTCTCTTACAGTGTCCGAAGCAACTTGAGATCCTCACACAGATCAGCGGGGATGGACGAGATCTTGGTTCCTGACAGGGTACTGGAAATGAAAAACCTAATGAGTCACTTCTGAGACACACAAAAGCACAAGCGGAAACAGATGCTTCATCCAAGTCCAACTTCACTCACAGACTCTCAAGGTTATTAGTCCATGTAAGGATGGGGAAGTCCTGCATCATACTGGCCCCACGCAACATCCTGAAACACACATGGTGATGAAGAGTAAAATCACTGTCACAAACATCAAAGCATGAGCTGGTATGAATCAAACAAGACACAAGGACCCTTTAAAACACACATAAATAGATCTTATTTTAATGTTTAGGACACCACTGACTGACGGAGTTCAAACAGAACTTGGTAACAGTGATTTGTCAGAAGCTGTGCTTGACAGTGGGACTTACAGGGAGTGCAGGTCCGACAGATTCTGGAAAGCTGACGCGCCCACGAAGGACAGAGGGTTGTCATAGAGATGTCTGGGAGGGCAGCAAGAGCACAGGGGAAGAGTTCAAACCAAAGTCATTTACTATGCGAGAATGGCACCATCTTCTGGACATTCATCTACTGAAGCCTTACACTTGTATCTCACATCAGCTAAAACTGTGTGTGTGCTCATCAGAAAGCGTACTGTACATCATGCATGGGCGGCCGTTGAAGAAGTTTGAGTTATTAGTGTGTTATGTCTGTTTCAGTGAATCAGAGGAGTTTGATCTTACATGGTTCGCAGCAGGGGGTTGTTATTGAAGGCCCGTTCAGGTATGGAAGCAATATCATTGCTGTGAAAGCCGCTGCAGGAGGAAGAGCAAGGAGACAGTGTAAAGACACTTTGCTCACTATGAAACCTGACCTATAAGTTAGGTTGCTATATACAAAAACCAAACATTTGAAAAAAAAAAGAAAAATAAACAAAAACCATGTTACAAATGCATAGACAGTTCAACCAAATCAAGCACAAACAAAGGTGCCAAACAACTCTCACAGCCTGCTACAGAAACCAGGTCTGTAAATTGATTTGATTTGATTTCAGAGAAAACTCTGAATTAAACGGTGTGCTGATCAGAGAAACCAGGAAATAAGACTTTATAAGCCGTCAACATAAAGACACAAATATTGAAACACGTAGTAAAGAATTTCAACAGAATGAATCATCACAGCCACTAGATAAGGTCATAAACAGAATTATGTACCTTTTTTTTTTTTTTACCCTGATGTGTCAAATTCACTGACACTCTGAGGGTTACTTTGTCAGATATTTGTCTTTTTTTAAAATCACATAAAAACTAATAGACACCAACAAGCTTCCTTTATGTGCTGATGAGTTAACCAGTCCCTGACTAAAGTGCCCCCCCAACACACACAGAGCAGAAGCAGGACAATGCACTCACAGCTCCTTCAGTTTAGGCAGGGCCTGTATTGCTTTGGGAAAAACCATCAGGTTGTTGAAGTTCAGATCTCTATGGAGAAACAGAGAGAGGCAAAGAGAGTCAGTGCTGTTTTTTTTTTTTTTTTTGCTTTACAGTGAAACAAATCCATCCCTCTAAAGCCACTAGTTAATGGTACATGCAAACAAAAAGGTCTGCATTTAAGCATTGTTAATGGAAGTGTGACTGTGGTCAGCTCCAAGTCACACACCAATTGTTAATAATTAAGATTACTAGCATTGTTATAATCCTATTAACAAAATATATGACTTGCTAGCAGTACTGAATGATTTAGCTCCACATGTTGCAAGCAACTGAACCATGGAGCTTGGATTACAAACAATAATTCTTTAACAATTGACATGTATTTTTTGGATTCAATCATTGGTTGGTTCGATATCGAATTTATAATGATATGAAACAGGGGAAAGCAGCAAAAACTCACAACTGAACAGCCAGAAAAAAGGCATTTTTGCTTGAAAATTGACAGGAGGGTAATGCATCATTAAAAATATTGTTAATTTCATGCCCATCGACTAATCAATCAATTGATTTGTTATTGTTTTGGCACAATAGGTAGTAGGGACTTTGCCTTGATCCTTCGTAGATATTATTCAAAACACGACACACCACACTATAGGCTTGAAAACACCATTGCAAACCTTAACTAATTTCAATATAACTAAATTAAGTGTTCACTCTGCCATGTTGTTATGTAGGGAAATGTAAACAGTAGATCACCACAAGTACCAGCAGATATTTCATTTTAAATGGATCAGACTGGAAGTTAGGATAAAAAACAAAAAAAGGATCAGGACATCCCCAGTCTCCTGTAAAAGGTCTGTGTGTTGTACAGTAGCTGTTTGCCATTAGGTAAGGCTGTGTGGCAGGAGGAAGTGAACAGTGGGAGGGCAGATTTGATAAGCATCATGTACTTTGCTCTATTTATCCTAGAGCAATTAAAGGAGGAAGTGGACACAATGATGTCTGGAGGACTGGGGCAGAGGTGGGTGGGGGAGCTGTTAGCACACACAAACACGAGCACAAACACACTTAGACAGATGCACACTGTGCGACTGTCCACTTACAGTGTCTCCAGGTTCAAGAGTCCAGCAAAACAGTTGTCTCCTATCTCTTTAATTCTGTTGTTGTGAAGATGCCTGGAAAAGCAAAAAGCAGTTTTACGCACATTTTTGAGGTTTTCATGCTGCGACAGATATAAAATTATCTTTCCCATTCATCCGGGGTTTTAATCCAGCTTGCGTGATGTGTGTGATTTGATCAGGTGTGTGTACTACATGTGTATATGCAGAGGGTTTTCCCAGCCTAATAGATTCTAGGTCTTTTCTTCCTGTTTATCCTGACATGTTTATACTAACCCTCCAGCAATACCATTCAGTGTGTCTGTGTGCTTGTGTTTGTGTGATTCTATAACAGCAGCAAGGGGGAAAAAAATGTAAGTTTGGAATAATCCCTCAGATTCGTAACACACCACATACAGCATTTGTACTTGTTCTTCTCATGGAAGGTTTCAGCATTTCCCACCATGCATAAAACAACAACATAATCTTGATTTTTACATTACCATCAAGCAACTTTTTCAGAGTGTCATTAACATTCAAATTCAAACCCCAGTGGCATATTTTGCACGCAAAAACGCAGCAGGCAGGAGCAGCAACCCATTTTGTTGACTTACTGACTGTAAGCTGTGGAAATAAATAGTACAAAGTTTGTGTTGTGAATCTGATTTGCAGTTGCTCAGAGGATACATTCAGAGCCAGAGCAGAACACAAGGAGAGGTAATTTGCATTGATTTGTGGTGACAGAATAATATAGATGATGTATGAGCAACTATGAATTACAGCTTCTTTAATTTAAAGGGGAGAACCAGTCATATTTTACTAGCACTCAGTCAGATAGAGTGAGAGTTGGTTACTTACAGAAATTACCCCCCAAAAATATCCATCCACTCATTACAAGTCATGGCTCAGACACTAAAGAGACATGAAACTGTTACTGTATAATCTCTCTGCAGGGAATTTGCATGTGTTGGTTTTCAATTTGAGAAATATCCGGAGCTACTCAACACCGTGTGACCGTCACCTCCTCAGCTTCTCCCTCAGGTCATTTCAGTAAACATGAGAATGTTCTTAGTCAGTGTGGCAGGTTAATTAAAGTTTAAAAAAAGTACACCAGCAGGTTGTTCCTGTTGAGTTATTTAGTGTATAGGTCTATTAAGACCGCATGCTCAGGCTGTCCTGGGGAAGCTCACTTTAATGAATCAAACTGTTTATTACTCAAATGCTGCGGCTTTTAAAAGATATCTCACCAAAAGCCTTGACTGATGAAATGCCATGGTATATAACTATGTAACTGTCTATATGTTTTTTTTAATCCAGGGACTGATTTACAACATGACTACTTACCCATTTACAAAATCTGTCCTTCTTGGTATTTTTTCATGTAGCAGTGACGTAACATACAACAGCGTTTAGTTCAGTTTGATAGAGACCATCATTAGAATATTTTTTTAGTACACCTGAAGGGATCAGCGCAAATTGCTGAGTAAACAATTTGTAAACATTTGTACAGTAGCTTAATATAACTTACAACACAACTAGACTGGTGAGGTTTGCGAAGGCGTTGTCTGGTATGTACGAGATGCAGTTGAGTGCCAGCGTCAGAGCCTGAAGGTTCGCCTGGTGTCTCAGGGAACTGATGGGGACCTCCGTCAGGTTGTTGTCATCCAACCAGAGGTGGCGCAGCTGCTGAAGGCCTTCAAAACTGTCGTCTGGAACGGTGGTGATATGGTTCGCATCCAGGCGACTACAAATCACAGATTGATTCAATTAATATGATGCTTAAAATGACTAAGACATTTGATACTGCCATAAATAAAAAAGCAAAATTATTAACAACTTTTTTTTCATCAATTATTTCCATATCATTCTTGCAGGAAAACTGTATTTCCGGTTTAAGAATTGATCATTTTATTGATACTATATGACAGGGTTTTCCCTAAGTGCCGGACATTAAAGCATTTCCAGCCGGCTACTCTTTCCATCCTGACGTCCTGTGTCTGTTGGAGAAAGGGAGATTTTTAACGTGAAACTGCGTTATTGTGTTTTTACCATTTTAATCATATCCATTTGTTTTTGAGGAGATCTCCGTGGATGAGTTTTTTTTTTTTTAAAACGCATATTTTCCCCAACTCTGCATCTAGTCTGCAGAATCTCTCTGCCCCTGCTCTCTGTGTGTGTGTGTGTGTGTGTGTCAGCGCTGTACACAGGGTGTCCTGGCAGAGCAGTGATTACCATCTTTACTTTAAATAAAATAAATATAGAAAGACTACAGCCTTATGTATATGTGATAGACGTTTTGGTGTGTTTGGTTACTAGCCCCACCCAGAACACCTCCAAAGCACCCAAGTTGCATTTGCATAACCTCACATCATTCAACTCACTGCAGAGGGGCAGCAGTTCAACGTCAACATCCTCCTAGACTATAAACTCCTCCAGAAACATCTGAATCTTGACTGCAGGCCAAGGTTTGAGCTTTACTCTGTGGCTACACTTGCTCTTTGTGACCACTTAGCAGCACAACACCTGCATTATTGCAACCACTGCAATGGTCTCACTTTCTGTCTTTTTTTTTTTTTAGCCACACTTATGGGAAATACAGAAATACCTGTCATCGCTCACTTAGGGAAACTCTTCATTCTTCAAATGTATGACACACAATGTTTATCTGGCTGCCCTGGTAAATGTGATATTAAACTGTCCATTTCTTACTGGTTAATTCACAAAATTTTAATTTTATAATATATAGAGCATAGTTTCATGCTGTGGATATTTAGGGTATCCAATGTGTAAGTGTTCCCCATGAAATTTTAATGTACTAGAGAGCACTGACCCCTGTAGATAAAATTGTAATCAGAAGCCAATAGTTTGGTGGTTTAAAAAAAAAAAAGGAAATATTCTTAATTTAAAGATTAATGCACAACTGCCCGTTTCACCATCACTGCACTGTTTTTTCATGCTATCCTCCTTCCCTGAGCGTCTCGCCCTCCCTCAAAATTCCTCAAGTGTCTGGGCTGGAAGAAAAACAGTCTTGATTGACATTTAGCTCTCTAAGGCTTTATACAAACCAAGTCCTAGCTCTGCCAAAGCATATTACTTCAGCTACAGACCTTAAAACCCTCACAGAGAAAAGACATCTGTTAAAAAGAAAGAGGAGAGGCACAAAAAAAAAAAAAAAAAAAAAAAAAAAGACAAGGGGAAGCAAGGGACACGAGGAGGGATATAGAGGAGTGATAATGGCAGAAAGCTGGATTTTCAGCACGTTTCTCCAGCTGGATCCATTTCTCCTTTAGTCTGTCAAATTCAAAAGGCGCAGTGGTGGAGGTAGGTGGTACAAATAAAGCCATGTACATGTTATGGTCTCAATGAAACTGACATTCAGTAGACGCAGAAATACAATGTCGAGATTGAGGGCAAGCGAAGCAGGAAATTGTGAGAGGGCTAACAGTTACGAGTAAACATGTAGGAACACACAAGCTCATTGAAAACCTGCTGATTTAGAGTGACTGACATTTGCACAGGGCTATTGCTTGGCGCACAACAAACACTGCAGCAGGAGTGAAGTCTTCACCCTCGTCATATTGCTGTTACCTGTAGGTATAATCTAAGATACTATAAGTGATGGCTGCAGCCATGTATTAAACAGGGAAAATTAAACTACGATGGTGAATGACAACTATCTGTTCTGAACAGTTCAAGCAATCTGATGCTCAATATGACCAGGAACATGGTTGCTGAAGTTTGACAAACTCTTACCGTAACACAATGCAGTTTGGCATTTCCAGAGTTGACATTTATTTTAAATAACGTGGCTCAACGTGTTCATTCATTCATTTTCTACCGCTTATCCTCTAGTAGGGTCGCGGGGGGGCTGGAGCCTATCCCAGCATCCTTTCGGGCGAGAGGCGGGGTACACCCTGGACAGGTCGCCAGTCCATCGCAGGGCACACAGAGACAAACAACCATTCACTCTCACATTCATACCTATGGTCAATTTGGAGTAACCAATCAGCCTAGTCCCCATTTGCATGTCTTTGGACTGTGGGAGGAAGCCGGAGTTCCCGGAGAGAACCCACACAGGCATGGGGAGAACATGCAAACTCCACACAGAAAGACCCCGCGTCCAAGCCGGGACTCGAACCCGGAACCTTCTTGCTGTGAGGCGACAGCGCTAACCACTGCACCACCGTGCCGCCCCGGCTCGACGTGTTATTTCTGTAATTTGGAGAGATATGCATGAGGCTGTACTTAGGCACAGTGGCGCTTCGGACTGACTTTACACAGGTTAGCATGCTATTTATTCATTAGTACTAAACACAAAGTACAGCTGAAGTATTGGACAAATGAATAAATTGACCTGATGATCGGCAAAGATCACCAGTTCATCCTGAGGGGGGCGAGAATGTGTGTACCAAATTTCATGGCAATCCATTCAATTGTTGTCGAGACATTTTACTCACAACTACAAACGTCTTGGTGATGTCACCAGAGTCAGAGGATCCATCCAATAGTTAGGTGAGATTGCTGCAAAAGCAATCCCACTATATGTTCTACTCAGTTTCAAAACTTCTTTAATGTGTTTAGTTTACTAATAGACAGTTTGGTCTGGCCCAAAATGGTGGACCAACTGAACCATGCACCTAATGTGGCAAAAAGCCCAAGTACTGATCTCAATTCTATATATACTTTTAGTGCATCTCATCTGTCATTCACACTGACAAATCAGTAGCCTCAAACTAAACTCCATTATTGCCGATATACCAACTTTTGCATAAATTTGTTTTGCAAATTTTTAGCACAAAACGTTTAGATCTTTAGTAGATTAGATTAATAGTGTTCTGCTATTGCTTTATTATCTTTGTGAGTAACTGTCTAGAATGTGGTTGTTAGTTTGGCACAAACTCTATGAATTCCACTTTGGATAGCAGGCTGTGTAAATACACTGCAGTGCTGTCTCTGACAACAGCTCTGATGATTGCAGCATATCTTCCTGTCCAGGAATTCAGGTCGAAATACCTTTTTCATTAACTGCAACTTCAAGAGAATACAAGGGCTATTCATAAAACTCACTGACATCGCTGGTGTGACATTATGACTTGAGATTGTCATAGTAGAGTGATTTCTTACATTTACACATGAATGACAGCCGCACCACTACTACCCTGATCATTTACACGTTCCATCCGCAATTCAAAACAGTCAATTTTCAGTCCATGAGGCTGTAGTTTCACCAACTCAAGCTATTTTAATACAACAAAATATCTCACCTGTACAATTATTCAAATGTTCTTTGACAATGCCCCAAACATGTTTGCATGGATATGCCTGAGCATGTGTGTGTGAGTGTTTTGCACATGACTTACAGAGACTGGAGAGAATGAAGGGTCTTCAGGGCTGCACTGGGCACAGTCTTTAGCTGGTTATTCTGGAGCATCCTGAAGATAAAACGGTGAAAGTGATGATATCAACTCAACAAAATCAACAATGTTCCTTTTGCATCACAAACCTAAAACAATATGTATCCACAGTAGGGGTGGGCGATATGCCGATATTAGATCGTGAAGGATTACAACGTGAAGACGATCTTTCAAACTGCAGAGATCGTGGGATCGTCTAGGGCACATTCTATAAATTGCAGTTCTATGCTGATGCACCGACACACCAGACGTATTGACGTCGTCAACCTGACCGACCAATCATAGCGAATTACGGGCAGTGACGCACTTTCCTACCCGCCTCCTTGTTTGTGTGTGTAGCGGTAGCACATGGAGAGCGATGGCTGAAAGCCAAACGGAGTCGGTCGCTAAAAAAAATTCCACCTCCATTATATGGAATTGGTTTGGATTTTCCGCAACTGATCAAGCGCAAGCAAATGTAATCTGCAAAGTTTGCACAGAAACCGTTCGCACGTCGGGTGGTAACACGACGAACCAGAATGTTGTTGTTTACCTTAAACTTTACGTTGTTTGCACATGCAGGCAAAACTGCGACTATTTGAAATAAAATCTGTTTAGAAAGGTTCTTTGGTCTAAATTGTCTGTTTTTCTTTTTCCAATTTAAGATCGTGATAAAATCGAAATCGTGATTTTATTTTTAAAAAATCGTGATATGATATTTTTGCCATATCGCCCACCCCAAATCCACAGGTACATTCCTTGTTCACGATACTAGTGAGCTTTCTGAAGGTCTCCTCTGAGTGTTGATTTGAGTCAACACACAGTGAGTGTGTTGAGCCACACCGGTTACAGTTATTCCTTTGGAAAGGACAGTGGTTTCCCTGATTTCGGTGTTTGCCAAGCTGATGAGAAAACTTTGATCATCAAATGAAAGCATTTGTTTGTTTGTTTTTAGTGTGTATTCCATCTGTGGTTCATTAAGAGCAATGTATAAATTGTGTGTCCTTATATAGTTAGTGTTTGTAATAACTGACCCAAATCCAATGTGAATGGGGCTGTTTGAACTGCATGTAGTCAAAATAAAACTTATAATGTTGTGACTTCTGTAGTTGCCGATAACAATGTGAAAAAATCAAATAAATCAATTGATATAAGCATATACAATGCCTCAATGTGTTTGTGTTTTCAGTCTCATATCCAAGACCTCACCTCTGACTCAACAGGACTTTAAACTTTTGGCTCAGTGCAGAATCAACAGGGCAGTGCTTTTTGTGTGCAGCACATAATTGTGCTGCCTGATGTAAATTATGCAGAATTAATTCATAGACAGCGCTTGTATGCAATTCTCTGTTGATGTTACAGTTTACAGTTGGGGCAGGAATGGAAAAGTGCATTTAGACTATTCCAAGTGGATGTTAGTTGTACGACTATGATTAGGGTAGCAATAACTGACAGCACCAGAATGTTACCACGAACTGCAGTGTTTACCCCCCCACCCCATGTGTGGAACACTTCACGCTGTCACAGCCATAAGTGTATGTGGTGGTGTGTGTATGTGTGTACTGACACCGGTGGTGGTGGCAGGGAGGATGTATGCTTACAGGACTTTGAGCTGATGCAGTCCAGACAGGGCTTCAGGGTGGATGAATGACAGGTCATTCCCCGCAAGTCGTCTGAATAAGAGAGAGAAAGAAAGAGAGAAAGAGAGAGTGAGAGGGACAAGTTTATATTTGAGGCATTTCTTAAAAGCTACAGGAGACCATGTTTTCTGCATGAAAAGAACATACAGTTACAAACAGAGTATATTGTATTAAGAAAGCAATACACAGTGTTGAGAACTTCTTCACATCCAGCGCCTTAGTAGATCAGGTTCCAGCTCTCAAGCTGAACACGGGGTCTGGGGTGTCAAAGACATGCGTCTGTGCCATGGCCTGTTGTCACTTCGTCTGTCACCCACAAGAGATTAGAACTGTTCCTGGCCTCCCAACCATCACTATTCAATGCTCCCTTTAGAGAGAGTGAAAAAATAATTCACCGCCCTGAGGCTGATACAAGCTGTGTATGACTCTAACGTTATTTCCTTTAAACAGTTCTGTCTTGAAACATTTATCATAAGGCAGCTGCTTCAGTCTCTGCACGAATTACTTGAGGCTGAGGGGACACCTCCCTTTCCTGCTCGGCACAGGAAGTGTATAGGAAATAGGGGTGTAAATAAGCATGGGACAGGCTGACTGGCACACGGAGCCCAAGTATACTATCTGGCTTGAGAGATTAGCAACAGATTTATCACTCTGCAATGTGAGTCAGGCCAGACTGAATTCCCTGCAACAAGAGCTGTTGGGTGTGAGCCTGAGAATCAAGGCTGACTGTACTAGAAGACCATGTACCCTTCGTGCGGATTGAAAACTGTTTTTTTGTTTGTATGCAAGAAAGTTCACTGCTTTCATAAGTTTCTATCCACCTGTTTTTATTTATCAATGTGCACATAAAAACATAGAAACAAGATGATTTCAATGAATCAACTCTTAATATTTGCATCACAGTGGTGGATGGAAACAGTCATTTAACTCCACTTTCTTTTGCAGATTTTTGGAAAATTTGGATGGAAAATTGGCTTCAAAGGCAACAAATTACTAATAAATTTCCATCTACCACATGAATGGAGAGTCACCTGTTCAGCAGCCAAGAAACAGTATCACAGAAGATGGCAAGTCCAAAAAGACTGTAAAATGCTTCAAAGAGTTAAATAAAGTCTTTCTGTGCTTCTAAATTGAAAGCTTCCAACAGCTTGACAGCTTAAACAATTAAAAACATCTTACTTTGCTAAAAAAAAATTATTTAGTTGATTGTTTTTTTAATTTTATTTATTTTGGATTGATTTACAATCTGTTGTCAAAAAAAAACTATATGTCTCATCATCATGGGCCGCCACCAACAGCAGACTAACTGCTCTGAACGCACATTAAAAAAAGATTTTGGACGTCACAGGCCATATTTACTGTATGGTTGACTATAGCTGTGATATTTGGATGTGAATGCTCACCAGCATTTTAAAGAGGCTGTCAATTGAGATTGACTTGGCTTTGAGACAAAGACATATTCAACAATTCACAATACCACCAAATCAATCAATGTGAACATTTGTCTCTACTGAGCCACAATTTGTCAAGAGCGTGTCTTTCCACATCTTTTTTGAAATTAGACTTTCACTCCAAGACCTGCAGTTATAGTCATGACTACAGTACAAGTTGTCGCACGCATATGGACGCCTACAAATTAAAAATGACATATTCTGGTTGATTTCCAACAGATAGTAGCCAATGTGGTTAATTCAATATGACTTAATTCCTCAAGAACTCACAGAACCCAGAACCTGCAGTCAATGTCACAAGCTGCTAAGCTCTACAAGCAAAGGTGTTTTGACAAATCTTTCAGATCCTTCAGGTTTCACAATATAAAGAGCTTCTCCTCCTCTTGCATCTCTCAGCAAATTCAGTACGTCCCCCCAGGCTTTGATGAGGACAGAAGAATGTGCTAAATCTCACTGAGGAAAGGCTAAATCCTATCCTTGTGCAACACCACTCCTTCAGGTCTACTTTTGTCAGGAGTAGATGCACAAAGAGCCCTGCAGTGCAGTCTGACAGAAGGCCTACAAACATGACTTGTGAACTTTACAAAAAAAAAAAAAACATATTTAGGCCTTAAACTTTGCTGTAACAATACACTAACTTTCTATAAGGGAAACTACTATAGCAAAACCCAAACAAGCACCCCTCCCCCACAACTTGCTCACATGCTCCCACATGTGCAATACACACCTTTCTGTATCACTGTCGGTATAGGTAGCTGTTACGATAAGCCTATGACTTCATTTCAATTTCATTTCATGTTGTCAATGAAAATGTTCATATCACCATGTTCAGAGTTGTAAAGTGCCTCGGTTATAGAAAAGTTGCATTCCTTTTGCCCAGAGACTATGTTGCGTAGCTTAGAGTTGGAGGCATGAAACTTTCCTGGTTGAATCATCAGTACAAAAGATTAACAAATCAGAAATTAAAGTTTCTAGTTCAAATAAGGTAAAAGCCCGTGTACTACTTTGTAGTTGAAGTTAACTACAACTCACAAGCTGCATTTCAGCAGGAAAAATCCAATCATACCCAATTAATTTTGGATCAAAATAGCAGCTATAGTGCTGTGTTTTATTCCCAGCTGCAACGACTAAGTGTATTGCCACTGTCAGGCTTCTCCATGGCAGCTGCAACCAAGGCTCTTGGGTACTGTATCATTATTACACATAATATTCATTGTACTGTAGAGAATAATGAAAACCAACCAATGAGTCCATAGTCCAGACTGTAACTCCAAAATCCTTTAAGAGTAACTACACCTTCAAATTCTGAAGAAGAGCCCTTCCTCACAGAATATTTTAAAAATGCAACAGGGGAGTGTGAGGGAGGCTCGTGGCAAGGGGTCAGGCGACACTGCTCAGAAGATGGACAGTGACATAGAGCTGGTAGTAAGAGGTAACCTCCCATGTATCTATATGTACTAGCAAGAAGCTCACCAGTGTGTGTGTGTGTGTGTGTGTGTGTGTGTGTGTGTGTGTGTGTCTGTGGGGGTAGTGAAAGTACATAGCTGTAGCTCCGCCATCACATTAAGATTACTGTTCACCAGCCTACTGCCACTGCAGAGGAATACATTTAAACATTATAAAACAAAAAACATTACATTAATGACAATAAATGCTTTAAATCACACTGTCCACAAAATGCAACATATAAGCAACATAAGACTGACCCAGATGTCATTATCACAATTCACTGTAGATGCAGACAGCCTATTGGTCACAGGTTATTTTCAAGAATACAAACAAACTGCTAAGGAGTTAGAGAATACCTGTCATCACGTCTGCTGAGCTTTGTTGCGCCTTTGGCAAGAAAGAAAGAGAGCAGAGGAGATTGCGTGACTACGAAGGAAGCTATATTCCTCCCTCGTCTCCGCTCCTGTCCTGTATGAGGATGGCCCGCTCTCTTTCTCTGTCAACTCTTTCCCTTTCTGTCTTTGCCCTCAGGGCCCATGCTCTGGTTCACTGACACTGCTGCAGCCTCAGAGCAAAAAAGCCATCCACCAAAGTTCACTGAGACAAGCCTGCAGATTTGTTCCCAGAAAAAGGTTAAACAAACACACATATGAACTAAGGGTATATGTCAATCAAAATACCTCTCTTTATTATGACGATCTAAGACAAGAAAGACGTAGCAGTAAGACTGGGTGGCTTTTTTAGCCTTGTTGCCATGGAAACCATTGTTTTGCCCTCTTCCTTCCTGCCTTGCATTCCTCCACACAATGTGATGAAAAGTAAATTGCCTTTCGACAAAGGAGATTGGGGTGGTGTATGGAAAAGAAGAGGGTGAAGACTCGGCCGGCTGAAAGATGCAAGGGAGCTGAAAAAACATGGCCGAGTGGAGCTGGAACCTCTGTTCACTCGCTGGTCAGTTTGCATTCTCAGGGCCACGTTACCTGATATCAGGTAGACAGATTTTATCTCTGACTCCCAGCAGCACAGAGCCACACAGCCGAGTATTTAAAGAATAAAGAAATAACAAACACCCACTGAGATTAGATGTATGCCACTCAACAAAGCCCCAGAGCATAGATGTGCTGTTGCCACCCTGATAATCCCTTAAAAGGAAAAATCCACACAGGATGTCACATGATTGCAGCTTCAATACATGTTGTCTCACCTCACCTTTTTAATTGAGCTTTACTGCACCTTTTATAACTGCCCTTGCTCAATTCATGAATGGCGAGTGATTTGTTACCTCATGTAATGCTGCGCTTATCTTCTCCGGCTCAGAATAAGGGCATGTTGTGCACCTATACTGTGTGTTTTGCAGTACGAACTCAAATACCCAGGTGCGTATCATAAAGCCCAGCCCTCATGTCAACATTGTACAGAGTAAATACATCATTAACGAGTGGGGGGGGGGGGTGGGGGGGGGGGGGGGGGGGGGGGGGGGGCATGTACTCACAGTTCTTCCAGATAGGGGAAGTTCTTGAATACATATGCTGGAAGCTCAGTGATGTTGTTCATGCTCAGGTCACTGTGGAAACAAAAAAAATATCAGTTAGAAACAGTGAAATCTCTGAGCTCACTGAAACCTTTGAATCAGAGTTTGTTAAGGTTTTAGTAAGCAGACTTAACAGATCTTAAAAGTTTTACTCACTTGTATAAGATTTTGTATTTTTTTTAGAGAAATTCATCTCTGTGTGGGGTCTTGTTGTATGAACCAAACTACAGCAAACGTGCAATTAAGCTTGTAACATGATGAAGTCTTTGAGTTGTGTAATAGTAAACTATACGAACAACAGGGTAAGGGGTAAATTTTTTTCTCTTTTGACTGTGCCTGCATGAGTGCAAGCTCAACGACAAAAAAGCCTTGAAAAAACCCTTCTTCTTAGCCGCAGGGATCTTCAGTTTTCAAACCAACTTCAAGTAAAGATAGGCATGTAGCAGCATGAAAAATATGCACACAGGACTTGATTTGCTTCCCCGCCAAAGCTAATATGAGAATATGTGTTTACATTTTCATAATGATATTTCAAAGAAAACACACTGATATGTATATGCTCACTACTGAAGCCGTGTTATCTTTAGGAAAGCAGTGCTGTGTGTTTTCAACTGGCAGTGAAATGTAAGGGACAAAATGCTACATTAGGTCTGCAGAGAAGACCTATAATGTGAAAGTAAACCCAACTCTGGATGCCTAATCTTGAGTAGGAATCTACTAACCTGCTTCAAAAGAAAGCCCCCACCCCTCCTCCACCCAGACGCCATATGTAAAGAGATGGCTCATATCAAGACTGAAAAAACATCCGGGATTCACAAATGTAGCAACCCCCTGCCCCCCTCCCTTTCACTCTCCGACTGGTCATCTTGAATTTCACTGCCAGATCTCTCTAGGACCTTGTGTGTGGGCCCCTGAATCCTACAAGGATCATATTGCCCTTCCTCTGCAGTCCCAACTACACACACACACACATGCACAAACACACACATAAAGAAGCCTTAAAAGGCGGGCCCTGACAGAACCCTCATCATCCCAGCGACCTATATCCCATCTCCGCTTACCTGGTTATCCAATTACCATATAGACTGTGCAGCTACAACACCACTTCCATCAACATCCTGCTTATGGGGTTTTTTTTTCCTACCCTGACAACATCTCTGGTGGTGTTCTGCAACCACTGCTGCAGATCTGCCACCACTGATGGTCAGATGGATACATCCCTAACCACATTTTAAACCGTTTGACTAAATCTTCTGCAGACTGTTGACTGCTTTGAACCACATGCAAGCCTGGGGAGTATGGGAGGCCTGCACGACTCTATCACACTTCCTCCCTCCCTCTGTGTCTGGCTGCTTTACTCATCAAGGTCCTGGCCTGTCCCAGCTAAGATAGATTGAAGAGGACACTAAAAATGCAGATGTGATAAACGGTGACAAGCCTAAATGCTTCTACAAACAGGTATCAGTAAATTTCTATCACATGTGCCATTTGGCTTCATTTTAGCAGAGGAAGCAGAGAATCTGAGAAAAAAAACAGACATGCTTTGAGAAAAGGAAAATATGATTGCTAAGGTATAGTAAGAACATATTCTAACAATATAGAGGCAAGCAGCTATGTGAGGGCCAAGCAGCCCAGCAGGCCACTGTTGCCATGGAAACATTGTGTCATTGTGTCAAGGGCATGGTTGTAAGCACTCACAGCAAGTTTCATGTCAGTTGATTAAAGATTGGTTCCGATATGACTTGAGTTCTTCCATGTTCTAACTTTTGTGAGGCTTGGTCTGAAGATCAGCCGTGCCAATTTTAGTGACGATTGGACAAAGTTTGTCTGAGCAGTAGTGAAAAAACACTTTTACATAAAATCCAATATGGTGGAAAATCATTGAACTCAGCTTTATCCAAGGAATCTAATGGTACCTCATTTTTTGAAAATCGGGCATACGGTCCAAAAGTTACATACGTGAACATACCTCCAAATCTGACCTGTTGGTGGCGCTAGACCTCTTAAAGCACAGATGTGACACTTGGTGAAAAGCATCACGGGGGTGTCCCCAATCAGTGTGCCCAATTTCAAATTTTTTTACCATATGGTTTTAGGGGCTGCCTTTAGAGAGAAAGAAAAAGATGAAGAAGGTAGAGATACAATGGGGTGCATACGCACTGCTTACACACTCACAGACACAGAGAGACAAACATTAAAACACTGCGTATAGTGTGATAAATAACAGTTTTAACAGTGTGTAGCAATCATCTACTAAAATTATGTGTTTTAATCAGACTAATCAGACAGTGATTGTGCTCAGAATGAATGAGATTAACAGTAAATACACTTATATCTGGTGCAAAGACTAACTGAGCATATTTCTGCTTATGTGAATATGGGGGTTTTAATCAGGAATACACAGTTTAAACCGTTGTGTTTCTGCCATGCTGAAACACATGTACAATCATCTCTGTGCATCTGTTGCATCTCTGAAACTTCCTACAACCTGATGTAAATTTATTCTTAAGATGTGTGCAAAACCTGTTGTTTATTTGACATTATTTCTAACAAAACAAACCCATATTAAAGCGCCACAAAAGACAGTGCCTATAACAAGTGTTCATAGAATTCAAACACAGCAACGAAGCACAGAGCAGCTGCCTGTTGCAGCAGCACTTTATAAGTTCAAACTTGGCCTGTTTATAGTGTGTTTACCAAGTACAGATTTACAGATCACTGAATAACCACACAAACTACGTCTTACAAAGAGCTTAATTGTTGCTAAATATTTACACTTAATAACTACTGGGCGTAACTGCTGTGCAGCCGCTTTAACCACCTGATAAAACTTACTTGTTGGGAAACTTTGTGAGGTGATATGTAAGAGCACAATAGGCTTCATAACTAAGACAAAACCATATGTTACCCAGACCAATCCAAACAAGCAGGAAAAGACTTTGAGGTCATAAGCCAAAATGCCAAAAGCTACTGTAACATAACTAGAGAGTTCATTGGTTCCTATGAGAGGTTTCACCGGAAGGACAACAATCAGCGCAGCACTTCACAAATCAAGCCTGTGTGGCAGAGTGGCCAAAACAAACACACTCCTAGAAAAAAGGGACACGCTTTGAACAAAGATCCTGTGGTCTGATAAATCGAAAATCCAACATTTCAGCCTTAATGCAACGTGTAATGGCTATACAAACCAGACACAGCTACTGTACTTATCCATTTAAAACCATCCCACACCACACTGTAACACCATATTGTAAAAATGTTCAGGAAAGCTTATGCAATCAATATTTTTTCATTTTGGATTTAAAATGAATTTACATCAGTTGGTAGAGATTTGTTTTCACTTTTTGTGTAATTTTTTTTGTGTAAAAAAAAAAAAAAAAAGAAGCTGAAGTTGAATGGATATTTTATACCTGTATCATCTGACAAATTTGAAAATGACCTACCATCCAAAGCTCTAAAAAAAATACTTAAAATACAAAAAAAATGTTTTAATTTCTGAATATTGTGCTTAGATTATCAGTGGTTCCTGTGTGTTGACCTGCTGTGAAAGCAAAAGTGAAACATACAGTATATGTCATCAGTGCCTTTTTTTCACAGCCTGTAGAAGTGACTTTTAGTGTACAACATTACACTAGACAACACCTTAAATTTACACGAGGAGGACAACCTTACTTAATGTAAAATGCATGTGTGATAATGAGCTATACATTATCACACATGCAATAACACATGAATTGCATTAGTCAGTTAAACATATGGCTAGGTCCATTTCAACTAAGTTCAGTGATAACGCAGCATAAAGCAGAAGACCAGTTGCTATGGTTACCTGCTGTTTAATAAACCTTGCATACTGATGGTGGTTAAACTGCTGACCAGAACATACTTTATGTGTCCTGTTTTATTCTTTTAATTTACCACAGCTTGCCAATCAGAAAACGGCAATAGACTGTGCTTACAAGTGACATATAAATGTATGACAGGATCAGGATTTTGAAAAGGAAAATTTGAAAAACAATTTTAAAAAAAATGCAACTTCCCTCATGGAGACTTTGTGTGGCATTTATAGAGAATCTGTTGCATGTTCTCAATTAATGTTTCTGTCACAGTTTGTTGGATCACTCAGGCAGTCTGCTGATGGAGCAGCTCTACAGTCTGCTCACAGGGAATTTAAGCACTGTTTTTATTTCCCTTTTACTCATGTTTTTATCATATCATTCAGAAAGTGTTCAGACCCCTTCGATTTTTTTTTAACATTTTGTTATGTTGCAGCCTCATGAAAAAATATCAAATTCAAGCCCTTTGCTGTGACACTTGCCTGCCATTTCTCTTGATCATCTTTGAGATGTTTCTACACCTTGATTGGAGTCTACCCGTGGTAAAAAACAGCTGATTGGAAATGATTCATAAAAGGCACACACCGGTTTATATAACATCTCACAGCTGATAATGCATATCAGAGCAAAATCCAAGCCATAAGGAGGAAGGATCTGCCTGTAGAGCTCAGACACAGGATTGTGTTGAGGCTCAGATTTGGGGAAGGCTACAAAAAACAATCTGCTGCACTGAAGGTTTCCAAGAGCACAGTGGCCTCCATAATTCTTAAATTGAAGACGTTTGGAACAAGTAGGACTCTTCCTAGAGCTGACTGCCTGGCCAAACTGAACAATCAGGGCAGAGGGGCCTTGGTAAGACAGATGACCAAGAACCTGATGGTCACTGTGGCTGACCTCCAGAGATCCTGTGTGGAGATCCAGAACTTCCAGAAGTTCATTTCAAAGATGATCACGAGAAATGGGAGCAGAATTTTAAGTGTCACAGCAATGAGTTTGAGTACTTATGTCAATGTGATATTTCAGTTTTTCCTTTTTAAGAAATTTGCAAAAAAATCCTACATTTAAGAGCCTTATACATAATCTATAGAATATAGTGTATAATCGTATTAAGTACATTTCAATACATCATTTTCAATAGTACTAGCAACGATTTTGCATATTCATAGCAGGATTTACATATCTTCGAATGCAAATTGCAAGTTCACTTCCTTCACGTTTTTCTTTTAACTTTATCATCTCTTTCTTGAACAAGTGAAACCTGATTTCCAGAGGTAGAAGAGCTTACTCTTCTTCCCCCTGTATTTAACAAGTTCAACGTTTTCTGAAAGTTAACTGTACAGCAAAGATCAAGACTTTTCCAAACTCCCTTTCTTTTGAAGCTAAACTTTCTATCACTTTTGAGAAAAACTGCACGTCTTGAAAATATGGACTAACATAATCTCCTTCCTTCTTTTTTGTAACCAGGCGCTACTACTCTACTAAACTTATTTCTACAATCCACACAAAAACTCTGTCAGTCCTCACAAATAATGCATCATTATGTGAGGCCAGTGCTGCAATACATCAAAATTCTCTCAAAACATACAATCAAGGATGTTCAAGATACTAGTAACAAACAATTAAATGGATGCTGCAGCACACTGCACTGCACAATGCAATGACGAGCATTACGCCACCTAATTTTTTCAAAATCGAATCAATGTTGTCAAATATTGGTGAACAGACAGTTAAGATTATACATCGTAGATATGTACATGATTTGGTACAGAGGACATTTAAAAGCTAACCTATCTCTATTATGTCACATTACTGAAAGAAACAAATGGGAGTTTCAGCACAGTTATATTATGGATGGTGAACGCACAATTAGCAGCATCCTTCTGCTCCAGTCTTGGGCTATACACTGAATAAATGTCAACTACCTAAGATGGTCTAGAATTGTCGATGTGCTCTCCACACGACAAACATTACATATAAAGAACATTTGGCACGTTTCAAACTGACTTCTGAGCATTTGCCCATCATTCTTTAAAACTCTCATGTCCTGTTAACAGGTCTTAGTCCTATGACCCTGACCTTTGACCATTTAAGTCAAAAACCTCAAAACTTCAAACTCAGCTTGGGATGATAGTTCATTTTTGAATACTGGGCACAAGATTCAGAAAACCTGCAATCATTAGCAGTTAGAAACTATGTGATGGGGGGATGGGAATAGGTGTATAAGTGGAGGACAGGGTTGGGGACTCAGAGAGGGGGAGAGAGCGTTAATATTCCCCCATCCACAAGTCATCCTGTTTGGGAGCGGGAACCACTGACTGGATCCTTTCACCTCTGCTGACCAAGAACAAAAGTATCATTCAGTTAAAAATGGATTGAGGGCACCAGTGGTGAAGCCGGCTAGCTTCACCAGCAGAGTGCAAGACCCCTGACGCCACCCCTCTGTTTTCCGTAAGTCTCAACCTTGTTCACACTATGAAAGGGCCTAACTCAAGTGAGATGTAAGCTGTAATAACTCCCTCTTGCTCCCTTAAAATGCACACAAGTTCATGCAGACACTGTGCCAAAAAACGAAACCTGTGCAGAGACTCAGTGACAGGTAAACTACATACCTTCAAAAGGAGTGTTTGCTTTGTAACTGGCTGAGGGGCCTCCTCTTTTCTCACTCATCTGCTTTTCTGTGACAGGGCTGTTTCCATTACAGATGCCAAAACTCAAGCCCCTGTGGGCTGTAGGTAAGAGTCCACTCCAACACTGTCATATGATTTATTGTACAATGTATGGTCTTCTGTTGCCATTTTTTTTTTTTTCCTAGAGTAAAAAAGGTACAAATCCACAGAACGGCAAAATTAACAGCCTTAAATACTCAGCCTTGAAAAGAGTTGTTTTCCTGACCTTTGGACATAGTTATGCTTACAAAACACTACCTTGAATCTGTCTGTTTCTGCTATTTTAACTGTATATATCTGTATGTTTGTATCTTTAAAATTAATACACCTTACTCCCTGTTTTTGGCACCGACTAGATTTTTCCTCACTGTCTTTACATCACCATATTGATTCTAAAGACATGATAACTGCAAACAAATGTGAATGAGCTCAGTTGAAGATATTGTAATACAAAACACTCATATATGAGACTTTTCCCCTTACACATCAGCAGGCCATTGTGGGTGCATTAGCCATGAGAGAAGGAGCCCTTGCAGCTGCAATATGTCTCACTAATCCATCATGATCCCTAACCCCAGTGCTTCACATACAAAAGACGGAGGGAGTGGGAGAGGACAACTAAAGTTCAAGAGACCAGGAGAACAAATGAGAGTAGGACAGAGAGAGGGACAAACAACCTTTCACATACTTTTAAGAGTTTGAAGTGAATACATTAGGCACGTTGGTGTTTAAAACTTGTCACAGAGCATTGAGATAACCATGGCGAGAGCAGACTGTGAGACGAGAAGATCTTGAAAACAACATATTGTTTTCCAGTTTGGCATAAAATAGGCCAGCACAGAGGGGATAAGAGGTATGATATCATTTTGTGAAAACATTGTTTTATGTTGAGATGTCGGACTGCCCATAATACATTGAGGCATTTTTTTCTCCCAGAGGAAGAAGTATGCCGAGAGATTCAGCTGTAAGCAGTAGGCCTAGCGTGACATGTCTTGACAGCCTGGTATATGAATCCACTCCCTCTGTTTACTTTACCTAACACTCACTTAACAATGGTGATTTCAAGTGGCACAATATTGGTTCTGGTGTAGTGAGGCTTGGGCCACCATTCTTAAAAGGTGGCAAAACTACATAGAGGTTTCCCCAAACAAGCACAAGCCTTTACACTTTGAGGCAAGGCGACAATGAAACGCAAGTTATTCTATTAACCAAGTAACATTCTAAATAGACAAGTGCCTGTGTAAACTCAATGTCATAACTCCTTCTATTTGTTATTCAAGGGAGCACAGTAACTACAACAAGCCACAATAAATTGCTGTTTTCAGTTCTGTTGCAGAGGTGGTTACTTAAGTTTATGATTAACCCAGTGGCTGTGAAACAAACTGAAGAGTTTCTTCATGGGGCAATCAACTGTATCTGCACCCTTCCGTGCAGATCTAACCTGCCTGGTGCCCATTAGCTCCACTTTTTGTAAAAACCAGTGCCCTTACTTTGAAGCAGAAGTTAAACTCTTGTGGTGAGAATGTGACAATGGCACAAGCTTGACTCCTAATTATTTTATGTATGTACAGCACTGGGAACAAGGCAGTGCTGGCTACAATCCATACAGCAGAACTCACCCAAATCTAGCCCCATTTGTGAGCACAACACTCCGAACTTTACTCCATGATTCAGTCGCATAGCATGTCCAACCCAAACATAGGGGTAAAGTTCAAATTGTTATGTTTTCACCTGTGATCCAGCAGTAAGTTGTCTATTAAAAGGTGATTATGTGATCCCAGAAACATCTTCTGTTTGCCTGAAAAATAAAATGTTTATCAGGGGCCAAACTAATGTTTAAATCCAATATAGCCTGGTTTTCAATCCAATATTAGCTGGTTTAGCCCCAGACAAACATTTTATCATTCCTAGCAGAAAGTAGACATCTCTGATATCTGAAAAATACCTTTGAAAACACAACCTGCTGCTGGGCGACGGGTAGCAAATAACGGTTTGAGGGAGTGCATGGAGTGATGAGGTCACAAATAGATCTAAGTCAAACCATGCTGATCATTAAGTCGTAAACATTCACTGGTTCCAGACACTCAAATGTGAGATTGCTGCTCGTCTCAGTTTTATATAGTTGTAAATTGAATATATTTTTTAATTTGGACTGCTAGTTGCCAAAAAAAAGAAATTTATAGACATCACGTTGGCTCTGGAAACTTGTGCCTGTCTTTTTTGACTATTTCATACATTTTATAGAGTGAATGTAGCAACTGACAATTGTTCTTATTATTTATTAAGCTTCTGATAATTTTCTTGATAAACAGTTCGGTCTAAAAAATGTCCAATGTGTCCAACATGAAATATTCAAATTGCCTATAAATCCAGACAATAAAACCAAACCCCATAAATATTCAGGTTACTACCATGACAAAGAAAAGAATCAAATCTGCACTTTTCAGACACTGGGACCAGAAAGTATTTATTGCTCTATTATCAAAACAGTTGTCATTTATTTTCTGAAGCTCAATTTATCGACTAATCAACTCTAAAATGACTGATTTAGAGCTGCAACCATTAGTCAATTAATCAGTTAGTTGACTGACAGATAATCGTCAACTAACTTGAATAATGAATAATCATTTTGTTCATAAGCAAATATGCCAAACTTTCACTGGTTGCAGCTTCTCAAATGTGAGAATTTAATACTTTTCTGGGTCATATCATATCTGTTGCAACCCTAGATTAAAAGTAAAAAGTACCTGATAATATTAGTTTCAGCCCTACAGATGTCTGTTACAACTCAACTGTGAGCTGGTTTAATATTGTTTCTGAGAGGAATGCAACTTTTTAGCTGCACTGGAGAAGTTGGTAAGCAGTTGTAGCTATAACTGTGTGTTGTAAACTGACCTGTGAGAAGACCTTGGGTTGTGACACATCAAATAATGACTCAGACTACAAGCCCTGACTAACCAGGTCATTCTGACTAACATCTTCAGAGTATTTCCTCTAGTGAGACATACAGTATGTGAAAAGTTTACCCGGTGATGGTGAATGTCCATCATTCACTTGCGGTGCAAATACAACAACATCCCATACATGCACAGGGCCTTTACGGTCAGGCATGTATAGGTGCACAGACATGTTTTGAGCGTGTACTTCGCGGTGGATGTTGGTTAGCACTTACAGGTAGTAGGTGAAAGCGCTGAGCCCGGTTGGGACGATGGTCAGTCCTCTCCCGGAGCAGTCTGCACCTCCATCTTCATCGCAGCTGCATGAGGGCGAACAAACGGCCGTCGACTGCCCTTGACCGGTGGCACCAGGACGAAGGAAACACCACAAACATATCCAAAACAAATCCACACGCATTTTCTCCTCGTCGGTTCAGGTGAAAGCGACACAAAAAGGCGGACAGGGGAGGCTTTGTTAGTGGTTTAATCTATTCCGGACGTCGACTTCTCATGTGGTTTGGTCGGTTGAGGCATGAAGAGATGAAGCCTAACCGACGCTTTTCAATACAAAATGTAACGTTCAAACACTTCGTACATTAACGAGCCTGACCAAAAATATCCACGCTAACGTCTAGTTAGTGTTAGAAAGAAGACGAAGACGAGCGATTTACCTTGCTGTGAAACATTTCTCAACCCCCTGTGTGTCGTATTAGTCCATGAAAATAAAGTAGCAGTGCTGGCGACAGGAGCGGTAGCCTACCTTGCGTTTTTTGCGTTTTCGTTGTCCCATTAAATAACCCCCCCGAAAAAAAAACTAGCGGTGGCTGTTAACGCGTCGCTAAGAAGCTGATCCGGTGACAGTGAAATCTTCAGTTAAACATACCGGACAATCATTTTCTGTCCTGGTATGTTTCCTTGCAGGAGATCACCGTCAGTTTTCAGCCATTCCTCACGTTCCCCTCCTCTGCTCCTGACATCAACAGCATGCTTGTAGCTCGGCAGGCACCCTACCGGACAACCTGCAGCACTGGGCCCGGCCTGTGCTGAAACCTGCACCACAACGACAGTCTGCCAACCAAGTGCTGCACACTCACCCACAAAGCAGTTACACGAAAACAAACAAACAAACGTAAGGTAAAACTTTTCTAGTGTGGTGGGAAAAGTAGTCAGATACTTTACTTGACTAAAAGTTCTACTGCTGTAAACTATCTAAGCATGGACGAGCCTACTGCTGGCCCTGGCCTAGGGCCCCAAATGGTCAGGGGGCCCCTGGGCTTCAACTGCAAAATGTCAAAGAAACACAAAACAACAACAAGGAGAGGAGGAATAAAACGGAAACTTAAAGAGATGTCAAATCACTTAAAACAGATGTAAAATGATTTTTTTTTTAAAAAAAGAAAAAAAAAAGAAAGAAAATGACTATTAAAAATGACTACATAGCAAATGCAAAAACCTAAAAATAGAAAAAAAAATAGACAAAAACTACAACAAAGTGACATAAAATGACAACAAATAGGAAGAAATGAGAAGAAAAGAGACATAAAGTGACCACAAACACAAAAAAGACCACAAAGAGATGTAAATCAACTACAAAGAGACATAAAACAACCAGAATGAGATGCAAAACAGCTAAAAGAAAACGCAAATCTACTAAATAAACATCAAGAAAAAGACACAAAACAACTACATGCATCTCCATGTCTTTTTCCATGTGGGTTTGTACATAACATGCCCGTGCCCATGATTGCAAGTAAAGGTAGGGTGTTTTCAGTTAAAGTGAGAAAGTTATGTGGCAAATTACACCTTAGATCTCCATCTCTGCAGAAGACTTCTGAGGCTCTGCTAGAATGACTGTCGGCTTCTTGGTCACCTCCATGAGCAAGGCCCTTAGTGCCAGGTTACTCAGTTTGGCTGGATGGCCAACTCTGGTAAAGAGTCTTTGGTGGTTCCAAAGTTCTTCTATTTCACAATTAGAGCCCGCTGTGTTCCTGGGAACACTCAGCTCATTAGAAATGGTTTGAAAATGTCCATGGCTTGATCACGGAAGTCTACAGAGAGTCTTCTGGACTTCATGGCTTGGTTTTTGTCCTGACATGTAATGTGACTTCTGAGACCTTATATACACATGTGTGTGCCTTTCTAGACTATGTACAGTCAATTCAGTTTGCCACAGGTGAGCTCCAATCAAGTTCTACACACACACACACACACACATTCCTGTACAGGCATCGAAGTGAGGGCCGGAACAATTCACATTGGGAGTGAGGACCACCCTTTCTGCTATACTTAGAGACAAATGGAAATGGCACTTCAACACTAGGTGGCCCCCTAACTCCAATTGCCACCTCAGCTTTTTTTTAAATACAAAGGAAAAACCCACACACGAGAGATACGGACAGGTAACATTTTATAACAGGACACCTCTTGCCTTGTATGACTCGATTTCTGTCTTCTAAAAGACGACCTCCGCCATCGAGATCCATGTAGGTCTGCAGGCAGAAACAGTCCGCTTTACTCCATCAAACCTCGCCTCTACCACCTCATCACTCTGACGCTCCCACCCTCAGCACTCACACCCCATCTCAACACCCCTATCACTCAGCCCCCACACCTCGCCTGTCGTTGCCACCTGGGCCTTCTCCTCATACCCACAAATGTTATCGCTAACTTAGTTCAGCTTAAGCTCACACAGCTCTTATCCTGCAATCTCAACACAGACTCCACACAATTTATTACATTTTTTAAACTGATGGAACTTCAAACACTCTTGCACATGTGCTTCCACCAACACGATGAGTAAAACAACTGTCATGCCTCAGACCCCTCGCAGGGTTAACATCCACCCAAGCCCCCCACCCACTAGTCTCCTAAATATACTGTTGAAAACTGGTACCACACACCTCCTCTCGTCGGCTAAGCTCTCTGGTCCCTCGGCTGCTATCCTCTTATTCCTCTGCACACCACGCACACTCCATCCCGCACGCTCACAGTCCCAGCTTAACAACAATGCGCACTAACGAACAATCCTCTGGTGGCTCCCGCCACCCACTCCCGCCCTGCGCCAGTCCCTCACCACTCTCTCAGTCCTTTGTCACCGCTGACTTGTGCATCGATAACACCACCCGCCCTCGCAAACAAGACACGCCACGATCACTTCCACTTTTCTTTGCTCACTCACCTCCTCATGACTGTTTTGCCTAGTGTCGCCAAGAGCCAAGTCAAGAAATATATAGACTTCTTGTTTTATAAACATTTAAAAATCTAATTGTCCGTGCTTTGGTCTCATTTATAGAGCCACCCCAAGTGAGGACGTACCATTGCGAGGACTGAAAGCGGAAAAGATTGCGCAGATAAAAAGCACCTTGGATAGGTTTTAAATGGCAGAGTAGACGATTACTGGCAGAAACAAGATTGGGTACAGGAGCACTACAGGCAGAGAAATCCTTTGTAGGGAAGGGGACCTGGATGCGAACTAACGGGATTAGCGTTACAATAGAAATGTGCGGACGGGGTGTAAATGGAGCAGCAGATCACAAAATGAACGCATAAGAAATGCAAGAACTGAGAGATGTAAGATCTGAATCCTGTTTGCTCTCTCTCCCCCGTCTTTTTCTATTGCTCTCCCGCTTCCTCTTTCACTTCCTCTTTTCTCTCTCCTTCCTCTCCCCCTCTTTCTCTCTCACTATTCTCTCTCTCGTTTCTCTCTCCCCCTAGCTTATGTGTTCTCTGTACGCTCTCTCGACCGTTCTTTCAACTCCCCTGCTTTCTCTATCTTCTTTCTCTCTCCCCTCATTTTCTCTCTCTTCCTCTCTCGCCCGCATTTCTCGCACACCCCCTTCTTTCTCTCTCTCTTCTTCTCCCGATCTTCTTCATTCTGTTCCTCTCTCATCCCGGGTGGTTGGTCCCACTCTCTCTCTTGTCTCTTTCATCTTTCTTCTCCTCTCTCTTCCTCTCGATCACTCCCCTCTTTCTCTCCACTCCCTCTTTCTCTCTCTCTCTCTCCCTCTTTCTCTCACTCCCCCTCTTTCTCTCCTCTCTTCTCTCTCCCTCATTTCTTTCTCTCACTACCCCTCTTTTCTCTGCTCTCTGTTCCTCTCTCTTCTTCTCACTCTCATTCCTTATTTCTCTCTCTTCTCTCTCTCGTCTAATCGTCCCTCCCTGTGTCTCTCCCTCTTTCTCTCTGCATCTCTCTGTTCCCACCTCTTCCTCTCTCTCCCCCTTCTTCTTTTTTATGTTTCATTGTTAAGTTTTTAATAATGATCATTTTAGGTTCAAGTTATAGAATAAGAGGCTTTTTAAGGTTTGAAATACAGAGCTTTTAAGTTTGAAGTTTAAATAAGAGTTTTGATAGTTTTAAATAAGAGTTTGCATTGAATGCTACAAGACTGGCTTGGCATTTTGAGCTGCAGATATAAATTGTGCTAACTCATTTTGAGCAAATGCCTTTTTAATTTTATTTGTACTTTTTTAAACTTATTATTCAACTTTCCAGAATAGATAGAGGATGGATGGATAATCAGATATCAGGAAGTCTTTATTAATCCCAAAGGGGAAATTGCTTTTCCGCTGCAACAGCTTCAACCCACAAGTGTACAGGTAAACAGAAATATAAATATATAAATAGAAAATAGCAAAGAAACAATAAACAAGTATAGTGCAGATACGATAGATATTAATAATAATGCTATATATAATTATAGTTATATATGATTATTATTTATTATTAAATTATAACAGAAAGGGGACTCCAATATGCGCCCCGTTTGAAAAAGTCCTCATTAAGATGGTACAAAACTTTTTCACATTTTTTT